CAAAAAAATCTTTCTTTCAGTAGTGGGGAGGCAGTGTTGGAACAAGGGGCACATAGAGCGACTTTACTAGCTGTAGCGGAGTCAGCTCTCACTCTCCTGAGCTAGACTGCAGCGGTTCAGATTCCCCTCCCTCCATTTCTGATGCCATCCCTCCAGAGGAGCTGAAGCAGAAGGCTTCTGGTGAAGGCCAGGGGCAGTGGGAGCCCCAGAAAACAAAGATTGGAATGAAGGCACAACTTTAGAATCTGCTTTATTATTAGCAGATTTTTTTTTAATTTAAACTGGTAAGAAAAGTTATTACACAACTGAATCTTTCTGAAAGGCCAAAAGGAATTGGGTAAGTTTAAATCAGTTGATCACTTTATTGTAAAGTGCCCGTTACTATTCCTTATCTTTTGCCAGAGAGTAAATACATTAAATAACAGCAAAATTTGGGGTATTTTTAGGTTCTTCACTTCTTGGATTAGGGATTTCAATGTATTTTAGGGATTAATTAAATTCTGATGAACTAGATGCTAATAATAACCTTGTTTATTTTATTCTTCACCAATTTCCCAATGAACTAAAATTGGTGATGTTTGTCAGGAAAAAAAAAAAAAGGACAATGGGACTGGAGATGGCTCAGCGGCTAAGAGCACTGGATGCTCTTGCAGAGGACCCAAGTTTGATTCCCAGCACCCACTTCATGACTAATAACCATCTGTAACTCCAGTTCCAGGCGAATCCAACAGCCTCTTCTGATCTTCGTGGACACTGCACAACACAGGTGCACTTACATACACATACATACAGGCAATACACTCAATCACATAAAAAAAAAAAGAACAAACAGAAAACATGTCCTGACCTTAGCTCATTAGGGCATGCTCTCAAGGGACTCAGGGAACTCAAGTTTCTTCCCCTCTTTCTTTGCTTCCAGGTTAGGGAGGTGGGCAGCTTTGTTTTGCTATATTCCTGCCATGATGTGCTACTGCCTTACCAAATGACCCAAATATGGGGCCAGTCAACCACAGAATGGAATATGCCAAACTGGGCGCTAAAACTGGGCATGCTGCTATGCACCTGTAGACCTTACTACTAGAGAGGCTGAGGTGGGAGGATCACTAGAGCTCAGAAGTTTAAGATCCAGTCTCAAAAGAAGTGGGGCTGGAGAGATGGCCAGCAATTAAAAGAGCTTACTGCTCTAACAGAGAACCAGAGTTTCCATCCCATCCCCTGTATCAAGGTGACATAAACTCCAGCTCCAAAGGATCTGACATCCCCTTCTGGCCTCCATGGGGACAAACACATACAAATAAATCTTTTAAAAGTAGTTTTGAAGCTGGGTATGATGCCACATGCCTTTGATCCTAGCACTTGGGAGGCAGAGGCAGGCGGATCTCTGTGAACTGGAGGCCAGCCTGGTCTACATAGTGAGTTCCAGGCTAGCTGGGGTTACAGGGAGACCATGTCTCAAAAAGACAAAAAAAAAATAGTAGTATTGAATGCCTACATTCCAAGAAGTATACAAAACACAGATGGTAATGTGGCTTTTGCTTTCATGAAAGGCCAAGTCTACTAATGCAGGCAGGTAATTTAGAGAGGGAGGTCAGGATCTCACTCTGTAGCTCAGATTGGTCTGACTTACTATGTAGACCAGACTGGCCTTGAACTTACAGTGATCTTCCTGCCACTGTCTCCCAAGTGCTGGGATTACAGACATGTACCACCACACTCAGTACACTATTACATTTACAATGAGAAAAAGCTAAGTTTCTAAGGTAGGAATAGTTTTTTAAGTGTATATAACAAAGGCTCCTGGTTGGCAGTGTGAGGTCAGAACAAGCTTCTGAGTGCTCTCTGAGGAGGTGAATGGTTGGGGGTGGAACATTATAAAGAAAAGAAAGCCCAGCAAAGACCTTGTGGTAAGAGAAACTACTGTAGGTTCAAGGCATTGAAAGGCTTACATAACTGGAGCACAGACAGTAGAGATGGAGTACAGAGAGCAGGAGCAAAACCACCAAAAGCCTTGAAGGCCTTGTTAAGCATTTGATCTTCTCCCCGAAGAAATGGGATGCTGCTGGGGGGGGGGGGGTTCAGTAGAAAGGGGCACAGGAAGAAGAGCCAGTGTGGAGAATGGACTGGAAATGGCCAGAATGTTAAAAGGAGACCACTTGGAAACTTCTTGCAGTCATCTAGACTGGAGAGAAAAGGAGGTAGCAATGAAGACACAAAATGGTGACCTGACTGCAGAGATCTTTAGGTTGGGATGACAGCAAACAAGTGATCGGTCTAGAGGAAAATTTCGGTATTAGGGATAGCTTGAAGCAACAAGCTCCCAAGCCTGACTTTTTTGTGCCCTAATTAAATATTTTTTTTCGGTTTGTGGTTAAGGAAGAGAGTGACGAATTTTACAGAGGGCAGGTCAGAGGACATGGTAAGAGGTGTAAAGGATGGGAATGAGGAGATGGCTCAGTGGTTAAAGCACTTGCTGCACAAGCAAAAGGATCTGAGTTCGAATCCCCAAAACCCCTGTAAGGTCAGCTATGGTGGCCTGTATCTATAATCCCAGCATCATTCCTACAGTGAGATGAGAAGTGGAGACAGGAGATTCCCCTAAAGCTCAAAGCCAGCTAGACGGACATAGGCAGCAGTGAACAACACTGCCTCGAACAAGGTAGAAGGCGAAGACTGACAACCCAAGGTTGTCCTCTCAACACATGTTGCCATGCATGTACCTCTCCCCCTTCTTCTTCTTTCTCTCTCTCTCTCTCTCTCTCTCTCTCTCTCTCTCTCTCTCTCTCTCAAAGAGATTTTCTAAAAAGCATATGAGGGGCTTGCAGAGATGGTTCAGCGGTTAAGAGCACTGACTGCTCTTGCAAAGGACCAAGGTTCCATTCCCAGCACCCACATGACAGTTAACAAGTATCCATAACTCCAACTCCAGGGGATCAGACGCCCCTTCTGACCTCCAAGGGCACTGCACAACATGGGTGCATTTACATACATGCTGCCAATACACTCATGCACATAAAATGAAAACAATAAATTAAATAAAATTTAAAAGGCATATGAGGGCTGGGCGTGGTGGCACACACCTTTAATCCCAGCACTCAGGAGCCAGAGGCAAGCAGATCTCTGTGAGTTCAAGGCCAGCCTGGTCTACAGGCTGGGGACAGCTGGGGCTACAGGGAGACCCTGTCTCAAAAGACGAAAAAAAAAAAAAAAAAAGGCATATGAGTCTAGGGAGATGGCTCAGCAGTTAAGAGCACTTGCTGGCTTTCTAGACCTGAGTTCAATTCCCAGCACCCAAGTTGGACAGCTCATAACTGCCTGTAACTCCAGCTCTAGGAGATCTGACCCTTCTGGCCCTCCACAGGCACCTGAACTCACGTGCACATATCCCACAAAGACACAGACACAGAATTAAAAATAAGGTTTTTTAAAGGTAAAAAGGATGACCCACCCTCTCCCCACCTATTTCCACTAGATGGGTGGTAGTGCCGTTCAGCGGCAGAAATAGGAAAAGTACCAGAGAAGTGGGCTTAGATCGTAGGCTTGGTTTTAAGCAAGAGGAGTTTAAGTGGTCTTGAATTTAAATAAGCAGTTTCACATATTGATTTGGAACTCAGAGGACAGTTTTGTGGGGGAGGGCTAAAAAATTGAGAACTGGTATATAGATGGGATCAGAAGGATTACCTCAGAAGCAAATAGTGTGTGAACTGAATGACAGAGGGGAGGAAGGTGAGTCTGCAAGTGAGGTATGAGTCAAAACAGGAAGAAGGTATCACAGAAGCCATGGGAGGAGTGTTTTCCATTAAGGAGACAACAGTCAACCATGGCAAATGCTACTGAGACATCAAGTATGACAAGGATTGAAAATGTCGATTAGTTTTAGGCACATGATTCAGGCAGACTCTGGTGGGCCAAGGAGGGTGCAGGTGATAAACACCCGGGAGACAATAAAGCCATCAGAATGTCTGGCTGTAGGATGGAAGTGTAAAGGTCACATGTGTTGGGGCAGAGGGAGGGTTTGTTTTAAGCTCAGAGAAACTCCAGTATGTTCAGTAGTAGGCGACTATTCAGAAGAGGGGTTACCATGAAGCACCGGTGGAAGGGGGCCAGCCTGAGCTAAAGGGGGAGGTAATTGGAAAAGGAAGAGAAAGAGGTGAAACTACACCTATGACCTTCCACATCTCTTACTGACTCTTGAATCTCCTGACCTACCATTCTCTTTAGACAGGGCATTTGCATCTGTGCATACATGTATGCAAACTTATTCAAATATTCTGGTATAAATGAATCAGTCAAGCATATCTTTAGCCCCTAATGACGCAGTTAATGTCCCCAGGTTTTCCATTAGTGTTATCTCGGGGCAGGATTCCTCCATCAGAGTTCTCAGCTGTAATGCACACTGCAATACAGCAGTGACCCGGCCCCAACTCTCCCCATCCTACCCGGTGATCCAACAAGCTCAAGGAGGAAGTAAAATGTAAAGCCCTGAAACTACAGCACCGCCTGCTGCATTCGACGCGACTGTCATAATCCATCTGCACCTAAAGCTATTCCTGCCTGACTCGAGAGCTGACAGGTTCCCCCTTTGAGGTTAGCCCTCAAAGTCGTTTGCACCCTCCTCCTCCTCTTTTCACAAGATCTTTCATTTAGGAGGAAGGAGAGACGGGTCCCCACACCCTCGCCCCGACTGCAGCAGACGACACCCCGCGGTCATCCGGCGGAGCCACCTCGGGAGCCCCAGGGATTGCGGAGGACCCTCGGAGCTCGAGCGGCTCCCGCCCTGAGGGCACCTAGGGGACGAGGAAAACGAGCTCCAGGGGATGGCCAGGGAGGCGCGGGAGACGACTCGGGGACACCCTCGGGGGGCACGGAGCGTGAGGTGAGCTAATCCCCTGCCACAGCTCCCCGTCTCGCCTACAGCCCTGCTCTGGCTTTCCGCGTCCCCTTCCCAGAGCCCGCGTGGACCTCGCGGCAGCCGGGAGCCGGTCTACCTGGCCACCACTCACCCGGCCCGCCATCTTCGCGGACACGTCCGGCTCCGCGGATGCAGCTGGGCGCTAAGCAGAGCCCGCCCCCGCCGCGCGCGCGCCCGCCCGCAGCCCGCCC